CCCCAGCCCCCACCCTCACTTCCTCACTTCCTACCTTATTTTTCCAGACAAGGTCTCTCACTGATCTGGAGCTCCAACATCGGTGAGCCTCTGGGACCTGCCTGTCTCCCCCCCAAGCCCCGTGGTACAGGTCTCGCACTGTCTTGTCTGTGGGCTCTGAGGGATTTGAACTCTCCCGCCATTGCCTTCAACACTAAACCAGCGGTTTTGTTCCGATGGGTAGCTGTCTTTTTTTTTTTTTTCCCGGGACTCAGTCCACCTCTTCTGATAGTGAAGACTTCGGGTTAAATTCTGCGTTCTTCCCCAGTGGAGTCGAAGCTCTAGAGTCCCACAGCTGTGGAGAGAGGGGACTTGAAGCAAAGCAGAAAAGCTGACACCAAGCCGAGGCTTTGTTCTGGTGTATGCTCTGCGGGAGGCAGGGGGAGGAAGACAGCTTCCTTAGAAGGGATGGAGCCATGGGGGACAGGCACGCCAAGGGTGGGGCTCTCCCACCTGGCCCCTAGTAGGCATGCCCTAGCTTCCTGTTCCCTCCCTTTCTACAGCACTGAGGTCCGGTAGCGGGGAGAAGAGAGGAAGGCTGCGCAGCTCAAAGGTGAAATTGCTCCGTTTTCATGCCTGGCAGGGCAGGAAATCCAGTCCTCTGTGTTGGGGCCAGGATCCACGGCTCACGGTTCCCACACGTCCCTCCCACATGTGGCTCTGCTCCCAGTCTGCTGACGCCCATGTTGCTGCTCAGTCTCCTCTGGCTCCTCAGAGCCTCCCCTGGGGAAGCAGGTGAGGGGGAGCTGCAGGGAGAGAGGGGCTGGTGAGACCCTCGGGACTCCTGAGCAAGGATGGGGGGTGGGTTTGGCTGTGAGGCCTGCAGAGCAGGAAGTGGGGATCTCTCCGGTCTGGTCTCTGGTTGTAGAGGAGAGAAGCTGCAGGGTTCTGGTGCTGGCGCGCCTGCATCTGGGCTGGGAATATGCTTCTTGGATGCTGCTCTCCCCCCAACTCCTGAGCCCGGCTCAGGGGGAATTCTTCCCCCTTGTCCTGACACCCTTGACCTTTCTATCATCATCCATAATCACCATCACCATCATCACCACCATCACCATCATCACCTCCTCCTCCTCCTCTTCCCCCTCTTCATCACCATTATCACCATCATCACCACCACTACTACCGCCACCTTCTCCTTCCTCACCTCCCTCCCTCCTTCCTCCTCTTCCTGCTTCTGCTTCTCTCTCCTCCCTGCCCTCTCCTCTTCCCTCCCCGTCTCTCTTTACTCTTTCCTCCCCCCTTTCTCTCCTCTTCACTCTTTGCTGCCCTTTTCACCCTGGGAAATCTCGAGGCCTGCTTTGCTTTTCTCCCGGGCTCTCCCAGGCTGGAGAGGGACAGTGGTTATCAGAGCATAGTGCTTATCTAGTGTGTAGGAGAGATTTTCAGGCTAGACCACCAGCACCTCCTCCAGCCTTAGCTGACAGGGACCCAGCTGGAGAATTCTCATGTTCCCTGTTCCCCGACAGCTGGGCTGAGAGGTGATATCCCAGCTCATAGGAAGGGCGTGTCCTGGGTCCCTACACAGACACTAAAGCCAGAGTCACGCTCACCCCCACCGTGGCTGTCTGATCCTTAGTGCCGTCATACGTAACACATGTGTTATGTGTAATGAATGAAGGGCCCAAGCTGGGAGTGTTGTATATACCTGTAATCCTAGCACTCATGAGGCTGAGGCGTGATGGCTGAGAGCTGTGATTGACAGTTCTGCCAGGGAGAGGTACATCTATGTATTTGGAGAGAGGGGGAGGAAGTTTATTGGGCCAGTGTTGGCCTCAGCCAACAAGATGCTTGCTGCCCAATCTGATCACCTGAGTTCCATCTCCAAGAGGAGAGACTAAATGCCCAGAAGTCGCTGTCTGGCTTCTACATTTGCACTGTGGGTACATGCACCCTTCCTTATATACGTAATAAAATAAAATTAAGAAAAAGAATTTATTTTGATATGCTAAGTAATCCAGTAGCCAGGACAGAACTACTATATAAAATGTGTGTCCCCCACCATGCGGCATGGAGGCCAGAGAACACACTGGAACTGAGGTTACCTCAGAAGGCCTTAAGCAGCCTGATGTGGATGCGGGGAACCAAACTCACGGTGTCAGGAAGAGCAGCAAGCAATCTTACACACTGCGCTGTCTCTCCAGCTCCTCAGTGTGTTTCTGTGCTTACTGCTCATCTCAGAGCCTTAGAGTCACCAGATCCCATAATTCTCTGCTCAGACATCTCTTTCTGGATGCGTCCTTCCAGGTCCCTTCACGTCTCCGTGGTCCTCTCCACCCCTCCCTTAGTCTTAGTCTGTGAGCTCCAGTCTCCTGCTCTCCTCTGGAGTTCCCTCCCCAGCCCTTCCCTCCTGAGTGCTGATTCCTGTTTCTACGGTATAAGTCACCCCTCAGCCCAGCTCTGGGGGTCTCCTAATTTGGAGGAAAAGGCAGGGGTTGTTTAAAAGGTGGGACTCAAAATCCAAGAGAGCTGGAAGGCTCTAGACAACAGTGGAGAGGAAGGGAAAATGGGATGCGGATAAAGCGGGGAGACGCGTGGGGAGGACAGCTTCTTTGGTAGAGTGTACACCTAGCATGCACAAACCCCGTAAGGCCAGTATGATTCATCACGCCTGCGACTGAGGCAGGAGGATTAGTATCTCTGGTTCATCCTGGCCTGTGTTCTGAGCTGGAGACGCTCTGGGCTGCATGAGACCTTCTGAAACAAGGCTGGAGAGATGTCCTAGTAGGTTAGGACGCTTGCTTTGCGGGCCTGAGGACTGCAGTTCATAGCCCCGGCTCTCATGTAGAAAGCTAGGAGGAGCTGTGTGTGCCTGTAACTGCAGCGCTCGGCCAGAGACAGTGGATCCCACGGGTCTGCTGGCTAACAAGCCAGGGTAGCTAAAACAACAAGCTTCCAGTTAGTGAGAGACCCTGTCTCAAGACATTAACGTACAAAGTAGCAAAGGAAAACATCTGGCGTGCTGCTCTGGTCTTAGCATACATATATCTGCACATTCAACATGAGTGCAACACACACACATGTACACATAGCACACACACATATACACTGCATACACATAACACACACATACACACTGCATACACATAGCACACACACACACACTGCATACACATAGCACACACACACATTGCATACACATAACACACACACACTGCATACACATAGCACACACACACACACACTGCATACACATAACATACACATCTTACATATAACACACAGAAATCACATACGTATCACATAACACACACAAATCACATACATATACATCATACACATATACAAACCACATATACATAAGATACATACAAACCACACATACATAACATATACACACACAAATCATAAACATATTACACCTATACATGACACACACAGAAAACACAAACACATAACACATACACACAAACCACACACATAGCACACCCAACACGCACACACAAACTACATGCACATAACAGACACAAATATACTCACAACACATACATACACAAAACACAAACCGCATTCACCTAACACACAGAGAGACCACACACATATAACACACACATACACACAGACTTCACACACATAACACCCCCACTACCAGAAAAAAACAGACAGATGGACAGACAGGAAGAAAAGAAAGAAAGAAAGAGAGAAAGGAAGGAAGAAAGAGAGAGAGGGAGAAAGAGAAAGAAAGAAAGAAAGAAAGAAAGAAAGAAAGAAAGAAAGGAAGAAAGAAAGACGGGGGGGGTGAACTTGGACACTCAGCAGCCATTAAGGAACCAAGGGTTTCTTACCCCCACTGGCCCCTGAACAGACTCAGAAGGTCAGCTATGAGTTCCTCCCACAGGCGATGCACACCCTGTTCTTTGGGACGTGGGTGTGGAGGCTGACAGGTGACCCCCACAGTGATACTGATGGAGTGATTAGGAATTCCCATGGATTCCTCTGTTCTGCCAACACAGGAGCTCCATCCGTGACCACGGCGGCCTCTGGCTTGCACTCGCCTGGCGCAGAAGCAGCCGGCGCCACTCTCAGCAGCACTCTGCAGGCTGGGCGTACACCCCAGCGGCTTCTCAGCCCCCACCAATCTCCTAATTCAGCTCCCGACAACGGGAAACACGCCCAGGACTGCTGGCATGCCCAAGAACTTTAAGCCCACTTATGAGTCATTGATCAGCTCTCCAATCAGTCCTGACATCGTGACAGCACCGATGTCCAAGTTTGTCATCAAGTTGGAGACCAGTCCTCCTACTGTCTTGGTGTACACCCCCACTACCGAGTGCATTCAGCCTTATGGCTTCACAGTCATCACCACGAATCCCACCACGAACTGTGTAATCACGACCTATGTACCCTTCACCAGTTCTTACAGCACCACTCCCACGACTGACAAGGCAACGACAACCATTACTACTGTGACACCCATCATCTCTGTCGGGAAAGTGACCTCATCTGTGACCTCTGCTTCCACTGTTACCAACATGGGTGGCACACCCACAATAACGTCCCCACCTTCTTCTTCTGTCTCAACCATATATACAACCCAAGGTACTCTGACCTCTTCTACCACAGGGACCACAGAAATGATCACCATGACCCCAACAGGTGTCCATACCACACTGCCCCTCACTCCAGGGGTTACCTATCTGTCTGCTACTGCTCCTTCTCAGATTCTTACAAAAACCTCCTTAACGACAGTAACTGATAACAGTGCCCCACCCAGCACCAGTTTCTTGGTCACCACAGGCATTCTTTCTAAACCATTTCCTACAGCAAGCAATTCACTCAAAACAGACATTTCCTCCACCCGTTCCCTGGGCTCCACTAATAAATCAACATTGACTGCTGCTAAGGAAACAGCCAGTCATTCAGATGAGCCGTCTGTGGGGATGACAGTAACGAGCTCTGGGAAAACCACACATGAACCCATAAGCGACACTCCCAGAGAAGCTATCAGCACAGCCTCGTCGCACACAACCACACCAACAACATCGTCTGTCAACACAGTGATGACGTCTGCATCCAACATGGCTACCTCAATGACCACCGGACGTGTAACATCGCCACCAAGTAAGTTTCTGTCTTCTGCTTCTTCTGATATTGACTCAACCTTCAGAACACTCACACCTGGCACCATCTCAATTTCCAGTCCCTCAGGTCTCGTGGGGACAACCCAAACCACAGACATACCGTCTTCTCATGGCCCAGGCATGCCTACCACAAGATCAGCAGCTACCAGCCACCAGCCTACAGACACGCCAGGTTTCACGGCTACAATGACAAGTGTCACGTCAGCCCCCTATGTGACACTCATATCTGAAACCTTGTCACCTAGTAAAGACATCCAAACCCTTATGACGACAAGTCTCACCACATCATCTATGGGTGACACTGTTCCGTGGGGCACCGTGACAGACTTCACCTCAGCCCACGAAGTTCCCAGCAAGCCGACAACACACACCAATTTCATCTCATCTTACTCCACAGCAGAGACCACTGATACAGTCCTTAACAAATCTCATCCCTCTACTTCCAGTGGGCTGCCTACGCTTTTAAGTACCGGAAGTGCTGCTAACACAAGTATCCTCAGTACAAGTGTTCCAGTCATGTCTGCATTCTCTCCATCCATCTCCCTTGACAGCTCTGGGGACCCACAGAAGGACAGTGTCCCCTCAGCTCCAACCATCACCCATACAGTCCACTTCACAGTTGAGTCCACCACAACACCCACCACCCTCACCACACCTACCACCCCCACATCCAAAGAGCTTCCTCCTCCTACCTCAGCAGTGACTGGAACAGATCAACCCACTTTTCCCAGCCTAGCTGTCACATCCACCGGGAAAACCACACTGAATCCCACCACAGACTTTCCTACAGAATCTCTCCTGACAGAAATCACCACGATCCCTCTGACCTCTTCTTCAGTTGCCCTCACAGATGTGTGGCTTTCTGAGCCACCCAGCATGTCCTCTCCCATGAGCCCCAATGTGATGACATCATCCACAAGTAGCATTCTTTCCCCTACTCCTGCCCCAGACACACCATCTGTCCCCACCGGCATGATGTACACCACCCCTCTGTCTATCTCAACGACCACCCCCCCGACTATCCATGCCACATCTACAGCAGTGTCTCAGGTCAACACCCCTAGCTTTTCAATCAACACCATTGGACCCAACATATCAGACATCACTTCTCCCACAACCACCACACACACACTGACTCCTGACACCTCTGTCACACCCACCTCGACCTCTTGGCCCACCTCAGAAACATCTAGAACGGATACCACACACTTGGTCACCACATCCACCCTGATGGCTTCTCATAGCACTCCTGGCCTCACAACCTCAGACAGTCAGTCTACCCACAGGGCACCCACAGCTGCTTCTGCCTCACACCCCACCACCCCAGGTACTATAGAGACACTCGCCTCTATACTCTCATCTTCTCCTAGAGCAGGCATCTCCACAGTCTCAGCTACAGACCTCCCTTCCTCATCTACAGGAAACAGCGGTTCATCTATTGTGACACCCACCTCACCCCACACACATCCCAGCATGTCCACAACCCACACGAGTATCACCCCGTCTTCCCCTTTTGTCAACAGCACAGCAATAACAACCCTGCTGAGTACAGCCCACACCACCCCAAGTACAGCAGCTGCTTTTACCAACACTGGAAACACCCAACCACATTCTCTTCCTGTCAGTGTGTCTGTTCGCACACTCGCCACTTCAATGGCTGATGTCAGTTTTGGGAACACACAGACAGAAAGTACAGCGCTGAGCAATCCCCCTACACTGCACATGACGGCAAAATCTACCCCAACGCCTACAAGCACCACATCTACGGAGCCTCTTTTAACTACTGTCACCCGGATTCCTGCAACAGACCTCCCTCCAGAGTTTCTCCTGACAGAAAGCACAGCCACGCCCCAGGCAACATCTCCAGTCACACCCTCAGATCCACCGGTAAGCACCAAGGTGGTGACTTCACCCACCACCACCGCTTTGTCCTCTGTGTCTATCTCAAGCACTCAGCCAGTCACCACAGAGGTCACACACACTGTCCCGTTATCCACCTTGGAGACGGCATTCCCAACTTTCAGCACCTTGGCTACTGGTACATCTCAGGCCTCTGACTTCAGCTCTTTAACCAATGCTGTGACGGTGTTGACATCAGAGATCTCCTCTCCTTCCTCCTTCATAGACACGCTGGCCCCTGACACTTCTCTCATGTCTACCTGGCCTTCACTACCCACCTCAGAAGCAGTCAGGATGTCTACCACACATTTGGTCACCACGGCAACCCAGATTCCATCTCTCATCACTTCCAGCTCCACAACCTCCAACATGTACTCCACAGGGAGGATCTCCACAAGTCCTGCCACTTCTGCTGTGAGGGACACAGTGACTTCATCTACCGTGGACCTCTCTACCATTCCAGTGACAGCTCTTGTCACCTCCTCTGCAAGCAACACTGTCCCGCTGGTCACAACAGACATCCCCCCAACCCACGAAGGTTCTACCATGTCAACAGCCCACACCACACTCGTCCTTTCTCTTTCAAGCCCCCAGAACTTGGAAACGATGCATACCACACCCAGTAGGACAGCTACACCCTCAGGCACTGGAAACCACTCCAGTCCATTTGCCACAAGCCTTCCGGTCACATCTGCATCTTCCTTGTCTCCCTCTGCCGGGTGGACTGGAACCAGCCAGACAGGTAGTGCACCCTCAGCTCCAACCTTCCCCCATTCTCTCAACACGACAGTTGATTCCACCCCAACACCCGTGACCACAGACACACTCACGACAGCCACATCGGCAGAGCCACCCTCTACTTCCACGTCATGGGATACCACCTTCTTCACCAGCACTATGACACCCACTGGAAAAGCCACAGTGACTTCTACCACAGACATTTCCACCCGGTCTCCGGTGTCAGGAGTGACAACCTCGACCTCCAGCAGCTCTTCCTTTACCTCATTAGATACACTGACTTCCGGGTTACTCACAACCTCCATCTCACCAACCCCTCACGTGTTGCTTTCACACACAAGTAGGGTCCCATCCTCGACACTGGTCCCAAACTCACAACCAGTCACTACAGACAGCACGCACACTCTCCCATTATCGACGCTGGTGACAACACTCCCAACTACCAGCGTGACACCTCTAACCACACCTCTAGTCTCTTTCCCCAGCTCTCCAACTAGGTCAGTTACAGAGCCCACACTCCGGTTCACAGATCCTACCTACGCTACGGACACCACGGGCAGCTCTGCCCAGCCCTCTCAGCTCACTCCTGTGACAGACGAGACTGCCATCACACCCACTGCCACGCTGACCCCCTCCCTCAGACCTTCCGCCTTTACAGAGAGCTACCTGACTGACAGCACACCCGCAGTCTCTTCCTCACTGAGCACACTCCTCTACACCACTGCAGCCCCAACGCTCACACCCACATCCATCTTTGCCGAGCCATCTGTCACTACCACAGGAGGGACTTATACCCTCGCAGTCTCCAGCACTCCACCAACCCACAGTGACCTCAGCCCTTCTTCCTCCATCCTCCTGAGCACAGAAGCAGGACTTGTCAGCACACAGCACACCATGCCCACCAGTACGACAGATAATCCCTCAAGTACAGGGAACCCCAGTAGTCCGCATGCTACGAGGACTCCAGCGACACCTGCCTTCTCCTCGTCCATCTCAGCCAGCAGTACTGGGGTCACACGGACTGGCAGTGTGATCAACCATACACTGCGAACGACAGTTGAGCTCACCCCACCACTCAGGATCACCACCACACGCACATCCCCCACAGAATCATCTCCTACGACAGGTCAGCAACCCTCCCCTAGCCCTGCTGCAACGTCTACCGGAAAAACCACACTAAAGCCCACCACAGACCGCCCTACAGAACCTCTAACGACAGAAAGAACTCTGACTCCCATGTACACATCTATGGTCACCCGCACGGACACTCTGGCTTCGGGGACACCCATCCCTTCTTCTGTAGTGACCAGCATTACCTTGACTTCCGTGGCACACGGGGTTCTGTCCTCTGTGTCTGGCCCAAGCACAAAACCAGTCACGGATGGTACCACACACAGCACCCCGTTATCTCCCTTGGAGACCACACGCCCAGTGACACATGCCACATCTGCAGCTACACTGCTCGTCACCTTCCCCAACTCTGTCACTAGCTCAGTTACCCATCCCCCATCCCCCATCACCTCTCCTTCCTTCACCTCAGCCACCAGCACCCCAGACACTTCTGCCACACCCACCTGGGCCTCCCTGCTTACTTCAGAAACAAGCAATGCTGCCACCACACAGCTGGTCACCATGGCTACCCTGCCTCCCTCTCTCAGCACGCCCAGCCTCACCTCCTTAAACAGCCACCCCTCTGTCAGCTTGTCCACGACTGCCATCTCTGTACCTCCTGTCACTTCAGGGACACTGGGGACCCTCACACCCACAATTCCACAATCACACAGCTCAGGCCTGCCCACCATGACAGACACAGCTCTGACCTCCTCATCCATGGGCAGCACAGAGCCTTTGACCACAGAGTCACACACTGCAACCCTCACAGTTCCCAGCCTTTCATCGACTGACTTCATCTCTTCTATCCCCACCAGTGGGGACACGGACACTACCCTTGTCTACACAGTCCACACCTCCAGCAGTGTGACAGCTGTTCCCTTCAGTACAGGGAACACTCCACCTCCCCTTGCCTCCACCTTCCCTTCTGGGTCTGCCTTCTCCTCATCCATCTCTGCCAGGACAGCTGGGACCACACAGAGGGACAGTGTCCCCTCAGCTCCAACCACCACCCATACAGTCTATGTGACACCTGAGTCCACCCTGACATCCACCACCCTCACCACACCCACAGCCTCCGCATCTACAGAGCCTCCTCTTCCTACCTCAGCTGTGACTGAAACAGGTAAACCTCCTTTCCCCAGCCTAGCTGCCACATCCACTGGGAAATCCACAGTCGGTCCTGCCACAGGCCTTCCTACAGAGTCACTCATGACAGACACAGCTGAGACTTCCCCAATCATGTCCTCAGTCACTGTCACAGGCTCACCCACATTCAGCAGGTCCACAAGCTCTTCCTACATCACCTCCAGTATGGTCACCTCACACATGAGTACAACTCTGTCCTCTATGTCTGTGTCAGGTTCACAACCAGACAGTACTGGCAGTGTGTCCAGTGCCCCATTGTCTGCCATGGTGACCTCACTCCCAAACACTAATGCAGCTACACCTCAGGTCACCTTCCCCAACTCTGTCACTAGCTCAGTTACCCATCCCCCATCCCCCATCACCTCACCTTCCTTCACCTCAGCCACCAGCACCCCAGACACCTCTGCCACACCTACCTGGGCCTCCCTGCTCACTTCAGAAGCAAGCAATGCTGCCACCACACAGCTGGTCACCATGGCCACCCTGCCTCCCTCTCTCAGCACACCCAGCCTCACCTCCTTAAACAGCCACTCCACTGTCAGCTTGTCCACAACTGCCATCTCTGTACCTCCTGTCACTTCAGGGACACTGGGGAACCTCACAGCCACAATTCCACAATCACACAGCTCAGGCCTGCCCACCATGACAGACACAGCTCTGACCTCCTCATCCATGGGCAGCACAGAGCCTTTGACCACAGAGTCACACACTGCAACCCTCACAGTTCCCAGCCTTTCATCGACTGACTTCATCTCCTCTATCCCCACCAGTGGGGACACAGACACTACCCTTGTCTACACAGCCATTACCGTTTCTTCCACTCCTATGGGGACCACTCCAGCTCAGCCCCAGAGCATAAGCATGCCAGTCACATCCCTGCTCTCCTCAGCCATGGCGGGCAGCAGTCCTGGGACCACACAGAGAGAGAATGAACCTTCATCTCCAACATTTCTGCACACACTATACACAACTACTGTCTCCACCCCAGCAGCCATGACCAGGAGCACACCCACAGAACCCTTGTCCCCAGAACTGAGTCCTCCTACAGCAGTGAGTGAAGCAGGTCAGCCTCCCTCCCCCAGCCCAGCTGCCACATCCCCTGGGGAAGCCACACTGACACCTAATACAGCCCTTCCAACAGCATCTCCAGGGACAGAAGGACTCTCAGCTCCACCAGCCGCTTCTATGGTTACCCCCGCTGAGACACTTGCTTCTGGCACACCCATCCCTTCTGTAGTGACCAGCAGTGTGTTGACTTCCACAACAAATGGGGTTCTGCCCTCTGTGTCTGTCTCAAGCACAAAACCAGTCACGGATGGTACCACACACAGCACCCCGTTATCTCCCTTGGAGACCACCTTCCCAGTGACACATGCCACATCTGCAGCTACACCTCAGGTCACCTTCCCCAACTCTGTCACTAGCTCAGTTACCCATCCCCCATCCCCCATCACCTCTCCCACCTCCACCTCAGCCACCAGCACCTCAGACACCTCTGTCACACCCACCTGGCTCTCCATGCTCACTTCAGAAACAAGCAATGCTGCCACCACACAGCTGGTCACCATGGCCACCCTGCCTCCCTCTCTCAGCACACCCAGCCTCACCTCCTTAAACAGCCACTCCACTGTCAGCTTGTCCACAACTGCCATCTCTGTACCTCCTGTCACTTCAGGGACACTGGGGACCCTCACATCCACAATTCCACAATCACACAGCTCAGGCCTGCCCACCATGACAGACACAGCTCTGACCTCCTCATCCCTGTACATCACCACAAAGTCACTCATGACAGACACAGCTGTGACTTCCCCAATCATGTCCTCTGTCACCTTGACAGGCCCACTCACAGGTGCCATATCCACGAGCCCCTCCCACAGCACCCCTAATATTTTGACCTCAGGCACAAGTATGGCACCTTCCTCTATGTCTACTTTGGGTTCACAACCCGATGGCACTGGCAGCGTGTCCAGCTCCCCATTGTCAGCCATGGTGACCTCACTGCCACGCACTCATTCCTCATCTGCACCTCAGGTCACCTTCCCTGGTTCCACCACATCCTCTATGTCAGATAGCACCGTTTCCATCTCTGTCATTGACACATCCACCCTCACAGCCTTCCTGACACCAACCCAACCGTCTCCACGCAGCTCAGCCACCACTTTGACCGCCACTCCAGACTCGTACACCACAGTCACCCTGACTCCCTCTTCCCATTCCAACACCCAGTCCCCTGACAGCACACCCACAACTAACACCCCCTCACATCCTACAACTTCTGGTCATCCGGAGACACTTTCATCCCTAACTTCATCTCTGCCTAGTGAAGGGACCCCTACCATTTTCAATACAGGTGTCTCCTCATCTCCAGGCAACAGTGGGACACCTGTCACGACAGCTACCACGTCAACCTATACACGGTCTAGTGTATTACCAACCCACACCAGTATCACCCAGAGCACAGGGATGTCCAGTTTCAGCACTGCCCATTCCAGTGCCCCGACTGTGACAACTACTGTTCCAGCTACTGGAGACACCCCACCGGGTTCTCTTGGGACCGGTATGTCAGTTTCATCTGAAATCCCACTGTCAAAGTCAACTTCTGTTGCCTCTGTTCCTACTAGTGCTTCTCCTACAAGTCTCGGTCACCCCCTTTCTTCCTTTTATACTCAGAGTCCCTCACCAAACTTCAGACCTGTCTTGTCAGTGTCCCATGTCCCCAGCACAAGCACTGCTCTGTCTACTCATAAGACTCTTGTGTCCACCCCGACTTCACTAACTCCACTTACTTCATCAGGTGAACCCAGAACAGATTCCCTCCCCTGGGGGGGTACTTCTACAAATGCAGTGGTGACTGCGTTTGCTACCTTGATCTCTTCCACACCCACAGTGATAATGTCTGCTTCTCCGTCTCTCTCTGCTACTAGACTGATGCTAACGACGACTAAACCACCCTCTGCCTTCTCCCTGGGCTCCAGTACAGACACTACAGTCTCCTCTGTAGTGACATCCTTTCCACCGTCTTCAACAACCAGAACGTCTCCAGCCACCTTGCCACTGACCACAGCTCATACCGAATCAACCCCTTTCTCTTATATCTCTCTTCCTTCCACTACACCCTGTCCAGAAACCATCACCATCACCATAGTCCCCAGCTCTCCCCTGACTCCGTGTGTTGACGTCAATCCCAGTACCGGAGCGACATCTGCTCCCATCACCTCATTCTCCGTCTTTCCCTCCACCACCCACATGGTTACCTCTTCCGGTTCTACCAGTGAAAGAACATTTCTCCCTCCACATTTGGATACCTCTTCCATGACACCGGAAACGGGGCCCTCAGACACTGATGCTCCTAGCTCAACGGACCCTAGAACAATAGTTATAGACACAGTCTTCAGCAGCACCTCAACATCCACCGGGGACAAGTGGTTCAATGTCACCTATATCGTCACCCCAAATACACCTGGCTCAATCAGTGTCTCCTCAACCCCGAAACCAAGCAACAGCTTCCCAACTACCACAGCTTCAAGCAAGGTGACCACAAAGATGCCGGAGACTTCGGTGGCCACCGTGAGGTCTCCTTCCACCCTTACATCACCACCATCAACTTCAACCTCTACTCAGAGGACTACAGCAGCGAGCTTGGCCGCGACCCCAGGTTGGACCTCTTGTTTTCTGTTTAGTTTCTCTCCCCATACCCTCCTTGCTTACTCAAGTTCTGTGACACCAAGGTCGGGTTCTCATTTTACTTGTGCTTCCCAGGCATTTGTGACAATGGTGGCACCTGGGAGCAGGACCGCTGCATTTGCCCTCCTGGTTTCTCTGGAGACTACTGTCAAGATCTGGATAACAGATGCCAGAATGGAGGTTCATGGGATGGCCTCAGGTGTGTCTGCCCCAGCACCTTCCATGGGTCTCTCTGTGAGTTTCCAGTGGAGCAGCTAGACATAGGTGAGTGGTCAGAGCCATGGGCTCTGGTCTGCCTCCTTACAGAAGCCCCGTGTGCTTTGCTTCCCCCCTCTTCACCCATTGCTAACTTCTCTCCCATACGCTCTGCTATCCCACATCCTCTCTTCACCCTTAACCTCCAGCTGGCTTCCACTGCCTTCTTTGACCTCTTCTCTGAATCTTACTGCTTCCCAATGGCTGCCTTATTGAATGACCTCGGAGGTAGTAGCTGTAATACAGGTCTGTGGATTACAAGTCTCTATTGGTTGCTTTTTCCATTGCTATGCTCAAATCCCTGACAACAGCAGCATTGTTTTGTTTTGTTTTTAATAGATTTTTGTTTTGTAGCCCTGACTAACCTGAAACTCACTCTGTAGATCAGGTTGGCTTAGAACTCACAGAGCTCTCCCTGCCTCTTGTCTCTTCAGAGCTGGGCTTACAGGCATGCACCGTCACGAATGGAGCGATGCGCAACTTAAGGGAGAAAGGGTTGTCTGTGGCTCACAGTCTGAGGGTTCACAGTCCATTATGGCGGGAAGGCATGGTAGCAGGAGCATGACACATTTGGTCCCATGGCACTCAAAGTCAGGAAGCAGAGAGAGAGAGAGAGAGACAGAGAGAGAGAGAGAGAGAGAGAGAGCGTTGGATGTTGGTACTCAGCTCACTTCTTTTTTCTCAGTCCGGGAGCTCCGACCTTGGGATAGTGCCACCATATTTAAAATGGCTCTTCCTCCTCAGTTATTCAACCTAGAAGCTCCCTCACAGATGTGCGCAGAGGGTTGTCTCCTAGGTGAGTCCAGACTCTGCCAATCTGACACTGGTGATTAACCATGACAAAGTCAAACACGGGCAGTGCCTGCTGGTACACTTTATGAACCCCAGCATTGAGGAGGCAAAGACAGGTGGATCTCTGTGAATCTGAAACATGTGTGGTCTGCATGGCAAGTTTTAGGCCACTCAGGGCTACCCAGTGAGATCCTGACTCAAAAACAAAACCAGGGGCTGGAGAGATGGCTCAGTGGTTAAGAGCACTGACTGCACTTCCAGAGGTCCTGAGTTCAAATCCCAGCAACCACATGGTGGCTCACAACCATTTGTAATGAGATCTGATGCCCCCTTCTGGTGTGTCTGAGACAGCTACAGTGTATTCATATATAATAAATAAATAAAAATCTTTAAAAAACAAAAAAAATATGTTAAAAAAACAAAAACAAACTGAAAAATTCTAAACAAAACAAATTAGTAAAGATTTATTTTTATTATTTTTTATTATGTGTATGTCTGTGAACAAGAATGCAGGTGGTAGAGAGGTCAGAGATATTACATTTCCCTGGCCTAGAGTTACAGGCAGTGTCAGCTGCCTGATCTGAGAGAAATGGTATTGAACTTGGGTTCTGTGGAAGAGAAACCCCTAACCACTGAGCCACTTCTCCAGGTCTTAAAGTAGTTCGAACTAGTCACTCTCAACTCATCTGCATCCTGACAGATTCTTTATGTCATGCTTCCATATCTAATGACATATTCATACGGTTTTTCTGGGGATTAAGGCCAATCCCTGTGAACTTGGCCTTCTTTCTTTCACCTCCGATAAAAATATACCAGAATTAATAGATTTACTCTTTTTCTATTGGTAACAGTCCAGCACCTCCGTGGGGCATTAACAGCTAGAGCTCTACCATATAACAATGCCCCAGCCCCTCCCTGGGGGATTCTAGGCGGGGCTCTACCACTGAGCCACGCCCCCAGCCCCTCCCTGGGGGATTCTAGGCAGGGGCTCTACCACTGAGCCACGCCCCCAGCCCCTCACTGGGGGATTCTAGGCAGGGGCTCTATCACTGAGCCACACCCCCAGCCCCTCACTGGGGGATTCTAGGCAGGGGCTCTACCACTGAGCCACGCCCCCAGCTATCATTCCAGATTTCTTCTCCTTTCCTGGCGTGCTTCAGTTAAGTCTTCAGATTTGATGGAGAAAGAGAAGAGAGTTCTGTGGATGAGAGAGCTGTGGTGTTGATGGCAGACAAGGGCAGATGAAGAAGTAGTCAGAGCTGGGTCTTCCATGATACAGACACAGTGGAGACCGAAGTGGGCATGGAGGTATCTGTGGAGCAGGAATTCTCTCCGGACCTCGAAGACAACACTTCCAAGGCCTACAGAGACTTCAGCAGTGCCTTCCAGGGTCAGGTGAGCAGGGAGGAGGGGTCTTAGCAATCCTCTCCTGGACCTAGGCATGGCTTCCTAGGTACCCTCAGGTCTATAGGTTCAGACATAATCCCAGACACCGTTGGCATTACAGATGCGGAAGATTTACCAGACTATTCAAGGCTTCCAGGGTGTGGAAATCCTGACCTTGAGGTAAGAGACCCTTCAGGGCCTGTGGAGACATTGTGGACTGGTGGGAAGGAGGCTGAAGAACCCACCCCTCCCTTTTGAAACCTTCGGCCAGCAAGACAGAGAGAGGGCCAGAGGGAGTCTCCAAGGAAATTCCTTGAGGGGAGACTTTCACAGTAATTTTAGGGCTTATTTCTTTGCTGATTTGGGGAGGATAACACTCCTTAAAGAACAGCTGCATAGGAGTTGCTGAGGTGGGGTTGTTGTCTTAGTCTTTCTTTGGCCAGTACCCAGTTTTGTTTGTCAGAAGGAAGGGGGAAGGAGAGGGAGGGGAGAGAGATAGGAATGTGTGTGTGTGTGTGTGTGTGTGTGTGTGCGTGCGTGTGTGTATACATACATATATATGGAGAGAGAGGTAGGGAATATATATATATATATATATATATATATACATATATATATGTGTGTGTGTGTGTGTGTGTGAAGAAAAAGATAGGGATATGTGTGTATATGTATGTGTTGTGTCTCTCTGTGTGTGCATGTATGTGTGAGTATATGTGTGTGTATAATGCATATGCATAGATTATATATGGAGAGGTAGGGATTATATGTGTGTATAGAAAGAGATATATACACACACACACATGGATATATAAACACACACACATATATGGAGAGAGATAGGAATATATATGTATATATGTATATATGGAGATATATAAAACATTTGTTTTTATTTTATGTATGTGAATGCTTGCTGGCATTTTTGTCTGAGCACCACATATGTGCCAGAAGTCACAGAGGGTGTCAGAGCCCCTGGGACTGAAGTTACAGATGGTTGTGAGTCACCATGTGGGAGCTGGGAACAGAATGCAGGTTCTCTGGGTAAGCCAGTGCCCTTGACCACTGAGCCATCTCTCCAGTCGCTCGTTTGATGACGTCGGGAAGCTACAGGAAGAGCATAGTCTTCATTCTTTCCCTGCTTCCTCCAGGCTGAGCAGCCTCCTCCAGAAGGATGTAGGTGGGACTAGAGAGAACGCTCAGTCAGGAGAGTGTTCGTCCTGAAGGTGTAAAGACCCCAAGCTCAGATTCCCAGAAACCATGTCAACAGCTGGGCGTGAGGCTGGGGAGATGGGTTTCTGTGCAGCCGTGAAGACATGAATTCAAATTCCAGCACTCATGTAAAAACTGGGGCATGGGCACGAGTGTGTGCCTTTAACAGCAGGGATGTAGGAGGGAGGGGCAGGAGGATTGCTGGGGACCTGCCGACTGCTGTCTTAGCTCAGGGATCAGTTGATAGACCTTGTCTCAAGGGAATAAGATAGAGCGTGGCAGGGCATGACACCAGATGTTCTCATCCCTTGCCATCTGGGCAGGGCTAAGAAGCTCCACACTGCACACACACTACAGACACACAGGCAGAAGTTCATGATGATGATGGTGGTGGTGGTGGTGGTGGTGGTGATGTTGATGACACACACATCCCTGGAAGCTGACAGGCCCTATATGGACTATATGGTGACATTCGAGGCCAATGAGAGACTCTATGTCAGAAAACAAAACAAAAAACAAACAAACAAACAAACAGTGGAAGGCACCCAAGGACCAATGCTCCAGGTTGTCCGGACACACGAAGTGTCCTTGCATACCAGTGCACAGACATAAATGTGCAGCACACACACACACACACATACACACGGAATGTGACATTTCATGTCACAGCCCGAATCCCCCCCCCCTTTATTCCCGGACACTTGCAGCTGGTCCTAAGGTATCCCAGATACCCCCAGTAGCCTCTGACGCCCTTGGCCCCTCAGGAGGGGCAGCATTGTGGTAGATTACCGGGTCCTGCTGAGGCTGTCCTTCAGCCCTCAGCTGAAGAGCGACTTTGAGAAGGTGAAGACAGCGCTGAAGGAGGAGCTGCAGAGTGCCAGTCAAGATGGTGACAGCTGTCAGGACAACCAGAGTGAGCTAAGGCTGGGGGGAGGGGACAGGGTCACTGCTGTCTCTCTGGGCCACTCCAGCTCAGTCAGGGAACCAGCCCCGAGGTTCTTGTGACAGGCTGAGAGAGCACGGCTCAGCCTGTACTTGGCAAGGACAAAGGTGGGGCTTGGGAGGGTCCCATGAGGACGCTTCCTCAGTGGGGAAGAGAGAGATCAGGGCACACTTTCCTTGTGGTGCCTCCCCATTCTGAGGACATCAAGGGAGCCCTCTCTTCCCCTCCCATAGCTGTGCGGTGTCCTTTCCCCAACAGCACTGTGTTTTAAGTCCGACTCCATCAAGGTGAACAATCGCCCTGAGAAAGAGCTGACCCCAGAAGGTGAGGGTAGGACAAGTGACCGAGTGGCCTTGGGTGGCCATGAACCTTGAGAATGCTCAACCCTTGAAGTCCCCAGGGAAGAAGGGGGACTTTTGGAGAAGCCACTGTTGTGGGTGAATAGTACCTTTCTGCCTCCCTCCCTCCCTCCCTCCGCTTATTTTTCATTTTCATTTTGCTTTGTGTGAATGCATGAGTGTGTGTGTGTGTGTGCACACGTGTGTGCGCGTGTGCGAGGGTAAGAAGACAACTTATAGGAGCCAGTTCTCCCCTTTCACTTCGTCGGTTCAAGCTTACAGAGAGAGGGTGGAGAGAGAGGAAAGAGAGAGAGAGAGAGAGAGAGAGAGAGAGAGAGAGAGAGAGAGAGAGAGAGAGAGAGAGAGAGAGGGAGAACACTGCATCCCAGCACCGAAGCAAGACCAGGGGGCCAGGGCTCTTTCCCCATCTAATCGCAGGGTCTTTCCCAGGCCCCGACCTGACCTCGGAAAAGCCCGCCCTCGCACCCCTCCCCCTCCCACTTCACTAAAGCCCCGTTCTGAGTAGATAGAACGCAGCCCCTGTTGCTGTCATCTCTCCTGTCTCTCTCCCCAGCCATCTGTCACCGAACTGCCCCCAAGGGCTTTGAGGAACACTTCTTTCCTTTGGTGGAGCTGAGCAGGCTCCGCTGTGTCACCAATTGCACACCTGGAGTGAATGGCACCATCAATTGCAACCAGGGACAGTGTTTTCTGCAGAAGAGCGGTCCAACCTGTCGGTGAGGTCCCGCCCCACGCCGTAGGCCACGCCCACTCGCCCAAGTGGTCTCCCAGTGCCACGCCCACCACTTCCCAGCACCTCCCAGAGGGGGCCCGCCCACTGTTCCAGAGGGCAGACCTTCCTTTCTGTCTTTTTTTTTCTTTTCAAATGTTTTAATTTTGAAAATTACCTTTTATTTTTGTATCTTGTGTGCACGTGGGAGTGCGACACGGTGACCAGGTGGAGGTCAGAGGATAACTCCGTGGACTCGGTTCTTACCCTTCACCTTTGTGTGGCTTCCAGAGAGTGAACCCAGGTTACCTCACCAGGTTTAAGCTGCAAAACAGCTTTCCTCCCGCCCCCACTTCAGCCATGTTGCTCACCCTTTTCCTTCCCTGCCCCCCTCCCGCCCTCCCTCCCTCCCTCCCTCCCTCCCTCCCTCCCACTCTATACTGTCTTTCCTGACTCTTTGAAGGTCGTATGTGATCCAGGCTGACCTCAATTTTTTAATTTAGTAACCAACTCTGGCTTTCACCTCCTGATGTCTATGTCTTCATTCCCCAAGTTCTAGAATTATAAATGTGAGCCACCACACCCCCACTGTCCGTTCTGGAGACCCTGCCCTGTACAGACCAAATCCTCCAAGGTCCTGGCTGCTTGCTCTAGGATGGTGGACTCCAGCCGGTGTGACCCTACCTACCAGCGTGTGACCTGTTCTGAGCACTGTGACTCTCTCTCTCTCCAGCTGCTTTTCCACAGACACACACTGGGTCTCAGGCCCACGCTGTGAGGTGGCGGTTGACTGGAGGGTGTTGGTTGGAGGCCTGGTGGGGGCCGCCATTGTGCTGCTGCTGTCACTGGTGGCCTTAAGTGTCTGGGTGGCACGTTCCCGGGGAAGAGACAAGGACCGCCAGCCCTCAGGCAGGTGAGCGGGAGCGGTGGAGGGTGGCTCGGCGGAGGGGAGGCTCGAGTCCCCAGACACTTGGCCAGTTTTGCCCAGTTACTGACCTCCTGAGCCACCGCCTAGGTCCTGGACCCAGGACAGGAAATGGTTTGAGATCTGGGACGACGACATCGCGGGAACTTTTTCCAACACGGGCTTCCAGGATGCCCCGACAGGTACGTCTTAATACCTGGGACAGGGCTGGGCTGTGCCACAGTCTGAGGAGGGTATGTTGAGGTCCTCAGCCAGGACAGACATGTGTCTAGTGTCATTCCCAGACCATCCCTGGGTCACGTGGTCCGTGTCCTTTGCTCTACAACCCTCCTTTCTCTTCTCCGCAGTCACTAATGAAAACTTCTATGTTGCCTTGGAGAAGGTGGATACCAACATGACGGTGAGGTCACGATGGATGGTTACTGAGCAACCCTCCCAAACTCCAATGCTCAGTTCCTTCTCTGGGCAGGTGGCTAGGTTGGGAGCAGGCAGTGGCTTCTCTTAGCTGGCTCTCTGAGCAGTCTCTACTCTCAATGTCCATTCTGTGGCAGGTTCACATCCAAAGACCTGAGGTGGCCGTATCACCAGCAACATCATCACCACCATCACCATCATCATCATCATCATCGTCGTCGTCATTGTTGTTGTCGTCGTCGTCATCATCCTGAGCCCTTGTAGGGCCTCTTCTGCGCTCCTCCACCTTGCCCGGGGCTGTAGCACTGAGTCCATTGTGCAAGAACTGGTTCCAGTACCCACACAGCCCAGGCTCCCAGTGTTCTTGGGGGCAGGGGTCCTATTTCCTTGACCTCCCGTCCGTCTCTTTGTTTGGCTGAAACCCACTTGGAGACCATGTGTCCATATGCTCTTCACTCCAGTGTGATGGGCAAGGCAGTCTCAGTCTCTTGCCTCAGGCTCCTTGTCTGTGAAATGGGTGTGGTGCACTTATACCATTAGCCTAAATCCTAGCACAATTAGTTCACATGTATTTGGTTGACTTTTCCTGCTGCTTTTCTCAGATTCTCTCTCCCACCCAACTCTACCACCTCCCAGTCTCAGGTCTCCATTGTTCCTCTGAGACAACGTTGAATGGGGTTCTGGGGATTGAACCTAGGATTCTGTGCGAGCTAGACAAGAGCTCTACCCATGGAGCCACATCCCCAGCCGTCGGCTCTTACTTTTGGATGTGTGCTCTAACACCGCCCTGATGAGGCTTGCCCTTGGACTTGCATGAAGCAAGTCAACCCCCCCCCTCGCACCTCCTTACTGAGGCCCTTGCTCTGAGTTGATGCTTATGCCAGTCTCCTCCCTCAGCCCTGTTCCTCTCCCAGTTGTCAGGCTGGCCTCGAACTCTCTAAGTAGCTGAGCATAACTTTGATTCCTTACCCCTCTTACCCTGGTACCTACAAACCCGCTCCCTCCTCCATCCCAGCGGCTATCCCCAAATCCCACCTCATTCCCACACCTCCCTGTTCCTAGGTCCTCATACGGTCAGGGGGTCATGGGGTCCCAAGCCCCTACTTCCCTACCCTGAGACTCCAACCTCTTCTTTCCAGCCTTGACGACTGCGAATCCTAGGCAGGGATTGGTATGGGTTTGTCTGAGGATGAGAGACATGAGCCTGTCTCCTTATTTCCTCCCCACCCCCCATCTTCACCACCTCTTCCCCGTTGATGTCTCTTCAATTACTTCTTAGCATCACTCGGTCACTGATGTGGTCACAGGAAGTCAGCGAGTGTCTAGTTCCCCATATAAACCCAATAAATACATTTACTGTAAGCAAAGCTGCTCTTCCCCCCACAGTGGTCTTCATCTGCTTGGGATGGAAGGGGGTTTGGCAGCATCCTTTTCTCGCGGAGGGGGGAAGGCCAACATCTCTCAGGGCCATGGCTGTACCTAGATCTTATGAAGGAGATGAGTCTCACTGATTAGTGGGGTGAGGTGGGGCACAGGGGAGTCTTCCTGTCAACAGTGAATGGGACAAGACCCCTGAATTCTGCAGTCTTGCCCTCTCTTGCCTTGGCCATAGAACCTTAGAGCTGGAATTTGCTAGAAGGAATTAGACAACTGGTGCTGGGTCAGGAGGTAAAGAGGTTAATTATTTTATTACATTTATTTTAAGGTGTGTGTGTGTGTGTGTGTGTGTGTGTGTGTGTGTCATAGCATGTGTGTGGTCAGAAGACAACTTGAGAGTTAACTATAGGAGTTGATTCTCTTCTTCCTCCATGGGGGCTCTGGGGATTGAACTTGGGTCATCAGGCTTGATGGCAGGTGCATTTACCTGCCTGTCCAAACAGCCTCAGCCTCCTCCTGCTCCCACAGTAATGGACTGCCAGTGTTCTTGCCTGGGACAAGGACAGGGACAGGGACAGAGACAGGGACAGGGAGTAGTAGTAGTCTAATCCAGCAGCTATTTGGGTGAAGGTTTAGGAGAAGTCCTTCGGACTTTGGTTCTATTCTGGGGAGAGACCATGACTATAGGTTTCTCTCATCTCTGACTCTGTTCAGGGGTGAACAGTCATAAAAATCTTAGGTGTAAATGTCATCACCCCACCCGCAGGAAAGCAATGGAAAGCGGTCAGCTCTGCTGTGGGGGAGAGAGGCACAGTGGAGAAAGAAGACTCGGGGGAAGGGCCACTGGACGCTGAGGAAGGTTCTCTTTCATCTAGCCTGACTTCTTAGAGATTATCCCTCTTGGAGTCCACGCACTCCTCCCTCCATTGTCACCACGCCCTTGGCATCGACCTCTAGGCTACTTTTCTTCAGAGTCTCAACACCTCAGTCTTCCGTTTGCTGTCTGTCTTGCCCCACCCACCCAGGGATTCTCAACTTCTGTTGACTGTTGCTTGGGGTAGTCAACACACCTGGAATTAGAGGGGAGGAAGGCTGAGCTACTGTCCTTTGGCCAACTTCCTGTGGTCACCCCCCACCCTACGCCACCGTCATCCCCACCCAGGGCCGGACATCATCCTTCTCCAAGGCAAAGGTCTCTAGGGTCCTTCTTATAAGAGCTCCTTCGGTGCAGGGCTCGCACTTCTTGCACCTCTTGAGGAGGGAAGCTCTTCCGGCCAAGGCCCTCTCCCTGGGAGATGCTGGTGACCTGGATCCTGCTGCTGGCTTTCCAGCTCTTCTCTATCTGCTCGGCAATTTCTGGTGAGTGACACCCAGCCTTGTGTGCTGGGGCTTTGGGCAGAGCTGTCGATGGTCTGGCTTCTCTTTCCAGAAGGAGGGTTGGGAGTTTATGTTAGGTCCTTCCTTGGACTTTGGGGTGCTCGGGGGCCACTAAGAAAGTCTGCAGGTGTAGAGGAAGAGGTTTGTCTTGTGGCTGGGCAGCTGGCAGCCTGAGGCTCAGCCCCTGGTATGTGGGGGAACTGCTGGAATCCATCTCTCTTGCCTTCAGCCATTCCTTGCAAAATGAAGGCGTTCTTTGGTCATTTAGTGGTCTCTGCTTGTCCCTATCCTTGGGTCTGTGCCTACCCAGAGGCCGGTCATTTCTAGCCTTCCCAGAAGACGTGCGGAAGCCAGTGGACAGCTTAAGAGTGGGTTCTCTTCAACCATAGCTGTTCCTGGGCAGGGAACAGCTGTAGGAGATTATTGGACATTTTCCTCTCCACCTTTTTACCCCATTTTTATTTTGCATTTCTGTGAAAAGGTCTCTCCATATAGTCCAGGCTGGTCTCCAACTCACGGCAATCCTCCTGCCTCAGCTTCCTGAGCTCTGGGATTACAGGTGCAAGCCATCACTCCTGGCTCATCTTCTACTCTTGACTTGTCAGAGTGTACCTGGGAAAGCCCCCTGTGTTTGAAATAGTTGAGGGGCTTACTGGGGGGATCTTTGCTCTGTGTGTATGGGGGAGGGGTTTAGGAGTTGGAGCGTGCTCTTCTATTTATTTATTTATTTAGGTTTTTTTTGAGACAGGGTTTCTCTGTGTAGCCCTGACTGTCCTGGAACTCACTCTGTAGACCAGGCTGGCCTCGAACTCAGAAATCCGCCTGCCTCTGCCACCCAAGTGCTGGGATTAAAGGCGTGCGCCATGGCTGCCCGGCTCTTCTTTTTTTTTTTTTTTTAAAATTGATGTTTATCTTCTCTGTGCACACGTTGTGTGTAAGCTTTTTTTTTTTTTTAAAGAAAAGATTTATTTATTTATTTTATGTAT